ATATATATATATATATATATATATATATATATATTTCAAACTGAAATTCTTTAGCAATACCTCAAACTTTAGTAGAATATAAAGCACTATCGTTTTAAAACTGTGAGCAGGAGATTGAGACAAAACAAGATTCCCACCTTTTTACCCATTACTCCATTCAAGACAGATGATTTTCCTACGTTTGGATGACCTACAACAAATAAAAAGTTTAAGTCATGTCCAGTACTTTGTTTTCATTGATTTTAGACTGAAACACTATGGTTATCATAATAATAAGCATAAATCAACATACTGAAACAGATGATATTAAAATTTCTATCCAAGTCCTTTCTTCCTCTAAGAATATAAGAAGTCAATACATTTTCAACAAATAATTCTAACTGTGAAATCAGAGGTTAAAAAAATTATGAACTGGGGAGATGTTTATCATTTTGACTTACCTACACATCCAATAGTCAAGATACCATCTTTGAACTTCTCAGACCGGTAGTGGCTACAGTCTGCTGAAGTCACCTTGATCTCTGCTCCAACTAAAGGATTCTTTTCTTCTTCACAATTATCACTGGCTGAAAAGCTAGAATTTATTTCCTCTTCAATTTTCTTTTCCCAACTAGAAAGGTCAACTATATAGACAAAGAAAGTATGAAATGAAGATATTATAGATTCACTCTTTATCAGCACCATCCTTATGTACTGGTTTAGTTTGTTTTCTTTTGAATTTTGTGCAAAGCTACATGAGAGCTATCTGCTTCGTAACTTAGCAGTGAAAGACTAGAGGGAAGGCAGCTAGTCATCACCACACATTGTCAACTCTTGGGCTACTCTTTTAACAATGAATAGTTGGATTGACCATCACATTATAACTTCCCCACAGCTGAAATGGAAAAACATGTTTGGTGGGATGAGTTAATCAAACCTGCAGATTGTGAATTGAGCACCCTAACCACCTGGCCATGCCAAACCTTACGTACTTATATCTAATTATTTGATTACAGGTAGTGAAATTTAATATAATGTTTGCAATGTTTACATTTACAAATGTACTAATGTGTGTACTCACCTTTGCTGTGAACAATTTTCTCACACACATCAAAAAGTCTTTTTGCTCCTTCTGCAGCCATCTTCAACTTACCAATCCTTCTTCCTACAAATATAGCAAAGTGCTTTATTTCTTTAAACAATTTTGTAAAAACAGATAAAATACTGATCTTCAACCACATAAAATTCTTTTTTTCTTCATAAAATCAGCTGGTTTGTTAAATTGTTTTCAATATTTTGACATCTCACAAACCAATAAAAACAAAAAAAATATGTTCAACTGCTCTAGTACTCAGCATAGAAAACAAATGAAATTTCTTAGTTAACTTGTTAGTTAGAAACATTAGAATGTGCCAACTTAATACCAATTAATTGTGTTATATAGTCAAAGAAAAACAAACAAAAAGTGTCTATATGTTAATTAACATGCTTGTAAAGTTCCCTTAAATAAAAAAGATAACTGTTTTTTTGTTTCTAATCATGAATCTTAAAGTTGATTGAATCCTATCCATTTCCAATTATACTTGCTTGAATGTGTGTGGATATAATATAACTATAAACACATCAGCATCAACTGTAAGTAAGTGAAATATGAGCACAGAAAACAGTGATAGAAATAATCAAATACATTAAATCAAATGTGGCTAACTGTATAATATCATACTTAAGCTATGATTATTAATACAAATGTATACAGTACTTGAAACCAGTGATCACAGTACACACACTTCAGAAACAAATGATGGAAATAATCAAATATGGTTAACTGTGTAATATCATACTATTGGTAAAGTTGACATACCTCTTTACTAAGTTACAACACAGTAAAGTTGATATACATTTTTATTAAATCATAATACAGTAAAGTTGATATACCTCTTTACTAAATCATAATACAGTAAAGTTGATATACCTCTTTACTAAATCACAACACAGTAAAGCTGATATACCTCTTTTTCCTGCTGCTTGTTTCATTCCACTATAAGCTGAAAAACATACAATATAGACCTGTGGAAACTGTTGCTGGAAGTAATGTTTCCATGCTAAGACAATAGGAGCTGGCACCAGATCTATCTTGTTCAGTACTAAAATAATGTCTTTCCCAAGATCACTTGTTACGTAGTCATATAAGGCAGGAGAGAAATGCAGAACCTGAAAGGAAAGTTAGCCATAACTACATATATGACAGCATATGTGTCAAATTAAAGATATTAAACTAGCTACAATATTTACTTGGTTAATTTTGAGTTCTCATCTAGATAGATAGCTGTTTGTTTCGAAAAAGTTATTAATAATATCATTGCTGTAGAACATAGCAGCCCTCCCAGTGGCACAGCAGTATGTCTGTGGACTTGCACGCTAGACACTGGGTTTCGATTCCCATGGTGGGCAGAGTACAGATAGCCCATCATGTAGCTTTGTGCTTAACCACAAACAAATGTAACAGCAAGATATTCAACTTGGGAATATGTTCACGGATATGATAAGCTCTCAAGAACAATACATAGCAGAAAATTTAAACAACAAATATCCTTTATCTAAGAAATTTACTGTTTATTGAAACTAATATCTGTACTAACAACATTGAACTTAAAAAGAAAAACTTATGGCCTTGGATACGTTGACAACTGTCAATGTATTAGATAAAGACATACCGAGTCTTGCCTTTTTTTCAATTTGATTAATATTGTAATCAAGAGTTTAAATGGGATACAAAGAGCAACAAGAAATGAAATATTCTTTAGAAAAAAAATTAAATGTTATAAATTACAAAACCAACATAATGAATAAAAAACAAGCAATAAATGTTACATAAAAATTCATTCAAACAGAAACCTTCCAATGTCTTGAACAAACATTAAACTGACAGTTTCTAATTCTAATATTCTGAAGTAAACAGTTTTGTATTACATAGTTTGGAAATAATATCAAGAACATGTCAATTTTCAAACTGGTTCTGAAATGCATGTATCTCGATTTTTCAAAAGAGACAACTTTTGAATATAATAATGTAGTTTAACCTTAGAACTACCAATGGAGGTCTACAATGGATCACATTAGCTTTTTTGAACATAGTTTTCAAAACAACTTATGCACTGAACTGCTTACAGAACCCCTAATAAAATTTAAGTTACACAAAAAATATAAGCAAAAATACTGCTAATACAGCAATTAATCTCACTAGCTACAAACAGGGTTTGCTTAGTATTTTATGTAAAAAAAAAAAAAGAGTAGTTTCAATCAATGTTTCTGTCTATTCTTCACACTGGGTGTGGTGATGAGAGAAAAAATAATATTACTCAATATGATATATGGACTTCACCAGTACTGAATTGTATAAGAACAAGTTGATAATTTGAGGGTTTTACTTATACACCTAAGTGTGTGTGTGTGTGTTTGCCTCACTTCCAGTGGCTCTTATTACTGAGCAACACATTAAAACAGATTGCATGTAACAGACATTTTAAAGAACTCAACAGAATTCCAGTAATTTTGTTCTATAAAAATGTTATATTATTTTTTTTTTAGCTGTTTAAAGTAAGAAGTAAAATAATTGATTTTCTTGCAAATAAAACCACTATTTAAAAAAAAAAAGAAAGAAGCAAAACAGATGAGCTATCTATCGATATATTCAGAATATTTATTCTAAAATTCAATTTTAGAACCAACGACACTGAACCACAATTCTTAAGACTATATTAACCAAATAATGCCAGCATGGGTTTACTATGACCCCATATCATGTCTTAATGACCGAACATTTAATGCTGGCATTCTAGAATTAAGCAACTAACAGATACTCTGTGAGCATATAAGTTGAAGTAGGAATAACTGTTTCTTTTTTTAAACAGTTTTCTTTGTGTACTGATGATGAGAAAATTTCTTGAATCATACTGCAGTATAATTTCTAAATTTAAAATTTCTGGAAAATGTATTAAAATTATTGTTCTTGTTTTAGCACAAAGCTACACAATGGGCTATCTGTGCTCTGTCTACTGCAGGGAACAGAACTCTGGATTTTAGCTTGTTAAATCCCTAAACTTACTGCTGACCCACCCAGGGCTAAGTATTAAGAAACAGTAAGTAAAATAACACTGAAATAGATTCATTGTTTTTAGGAACCTGTAAATCATTCTACAGCAACACAAATTACAGGGTATCTGATGTCCACGATCAACATTATTACAGGGTATCTGATGTCCACGATCAACATTATTACAGGGTATCTGATGTCCACGATCAACACTAACTTACAGGGTATCTGATGTCCACGATCAACATTATTACAGGGTATCTGATGTCCACGATCAACATTATTACAGGGTATCTGATGTCCACGATCAACACAACTTACAGGGTATCTGATGTCCACGATCAACATTACAATGTCCGACATTTCAAGCACTCGCCACAGCTGTCTCCAAGTCTCCAGGTTCATTTCAAAGTAGCTCAATTCTTCACTCTTAAACTCCTGCTCAATTTTCTGAAGATATTCCTATTAAGTACAGTTGTGTACAATTAATAAAAAAAAAAATATTTATAAAGTACCCAATAATTACAACATCAGTTCAGAAAAATCTTTTACTATTACCCCTCCTTCTTAAAGTATCTATTAATTTTCTTGTTATTATAAGGTATCAATTCCCTTACAGTTCAGATACACGAGGTCCCTCTGTTAATTCTTATAGTCGTAAGTTATTTTACTGTTCAAAATTCTGTCCATTCTTTAACTGAAAATCTGTTAAATTCCTTACTTTAATGTACATTATAATATCTAGAATTTATCTTATAATTATTTTAAAAATTAGTTTAAAGAAACATATATTTGCTAATTCTTTTATCAAGATACAACTCTTACCTTATCTAAATTATGTTTTATATTGTTGAACATGCCAACTAAGTCTAGTAAGGACTCTATTGTTTACCTAATTGTAATTATGAAATGTGTGAAAGTGGTCCTGTTATTTTTTGAATTATCTCCAATAATTATCCTCCAAGTACCATAGCTAGTTTTCTTTTCAAGCTACTCAATTATTCAACATACTCTAAAGTGTTTCTGCTCCCTAGCCTCCAGCTGTTCTTTCGACATACTATAGTTCCACGGTGGCCGTTTAGGTATATCCAGAACTGATCCAGGTAGAAAAATGTCTTCATAACTCACTTCAAGAGCCTCCTTTAAAAAGAAATAAGATTTATGACCTAACGCATAGATGTCCTCTATTTATTTACATTAAAGTCCATGAATTAATTAACACTCTTTGCCTACTATGTACAACAACTCGCAAGTTGTAGTACTCGTGCAAAATGTGTGATAATTCCTTTAGCTCTTTCAGCACTGGCTCGGTCCCTGGGACTGACCTCGTACCCATTTTGTGCTTGTTATAGTTTTCATGCTATAACATTGAAATTGATAAGTGTATGTTCACAAATTTTGGCAGATTATCATTAAAGATTACAAGGTTTCATAAGCAAAATATCAGAATTATTTATTAAGTCTTAAGGTTTTTTAACACATTTGTGAACAGGTCACGAGTTTACTGGTGTTCCGTGCAGAACATCTTTGCATGCCATTTATTAAAACGTTGAATTTGAAAGGAGTCGGAAACTTTTTATTTTGTTCCAGACAGTTATTATTTTTCTGATTTTTGCTTGCAATACCCATATTTTTATAAACGGCTTCTCACAGAAAACGTAACGTGTTGAGTGAAGATGAGATAATTACTGAACTATTTGATGATAATTTGTCAGATCTTCCGAGTGAAGGCGAAGATTATGATGTTTTTGTGGATCATTCTTACAGTAACTCTAGCTACAGTGACGTTGTTAGACCTACAAAGATATGTAAAGTTGTTGTGCTCCCAACTGATTCTGAATAAGAAAGTGATGATGATTCTACAAATGTTCCTGTTAGTGATTTGATTTTCCATAGTGATAATTGGTCAGCAATAGATATTCCACCAAACTTGGAAATGTTTGAAGGAAATCGAGGGGTCACTATAACTTCATCCGAACCCAAAAGTATTCCTACCGTGACAAGTATAATGTTTGGTGATGACTTGTTTGAAATGTTTTGTCAGGAAATGTATACCTACCATAATCAAACTCAGAGAAACATAAAATGTGATCTAAAGGACTTCAATGGTCTGAAGTTACACCTACAGATATGAGGAAATTCCTAGGCCTTATTCTACTAATGGGACAGACAAGGAAATATAACTGGAAAGATTATTGGTCAACAGATCCTCTTTTGATTAGCCCAATATTTTCGCAGACAATGAGCCGATACAGATCTGAACAAATTTCTACGTTTTGGCATTTCAATGATAATCAGAAAATGGATGAGTCCTTAGGCAGGCTCTTCAAAACTCAACCAGTACTGGAATATTTCCTTAATAAATTCAGGACACTAAACAAACCAAAGCAACAGTTGTCATTGGATGAAGGCATGATTCCATAGAGAGGATGTTTAAGATTCCAAACATACAACCCTGCAAAAATTGTAAAATATGGCTTGCTGGAGAATTGTTTGTGAGTGTGACACAGGTTATATTTGCAACATTTAGATTTATACTGGTGAGGGGAAAAAATTGGAGGAGACTATTCTTTCAGTTCTTGCTCCCAATCTTTGATTGTGGCATCACGTATACCAGGACAATTATTACAACAGTACTTCCATTGCAAACCTGTTTCTAGGACAGAAAACAAGTGTCTGCAGGAGAATCAAAGTGAATATAAGGTTGCTGCCAAGCTGAAGTTTCAACAATGAAGAAAAGGTGAAACAGCTTTCCATAGATAAGGTGATGTTCTCGTTTTCATATGGAAAGACAAGAGAGAAGTGAGAATGGATTAAACCATCCATAACTCATCTGTTTCTACCAAAGGAAAGAAAATATAATAACTGGAAAAGAAATAAAAAAACACCTATGTGTGTTCTCCAATACAATGCTCACATGAAAGGTGTTGATCGTGCAAATCAGTACCTCTCATACTACACCATTCTCAGAAAAACAGTGAAATGGACAAAAAAGGTAGTACTTTATCTAATAAATTGTGGCCTTTTCAATTCAATATAATCAACAAAGCCCTGAATCAACAGAAAAATATAAAATATAAGCAGTTTCTCCTCTCTGAGAATAGATTACTGACAAAGAGAAAGAAGGCTCACTGGAACCAGAAAGGAACAAACCTGGTTCATCATCTGAAGGCACAAGGAGAGCCCCACATAAGGATCCCCAGGAAGACTGTCTGGTGACATGAAGCAGCATATTCCTGTGTTCATTTCATCTACAGGAAAAAAGAAATTTCCTACCAGAGTCTGTAGAGTTTGTACTGCTCATGGGAAAATAAGTGAAATACAATACATATGTAAGTTTTGTGTGGTTCCACTCCATACAGGAAAATGTTTTACAAGAAACCACACTTTAAACATTTACTAGGTGTCTTCATGTACACACTCTGTAAGTTTCAAATAAATAATAAAAAATATAGTTGAGTTATGAACAAAATAAAGTGCGTCCGACTCCTTTCAAACTCAACGTTTTAATAAAGGCACACAAAGACACTCTGCGTGAAACACAAGAAAACTCGTAACCCATCCTCAATGTGTTAAGCAATGTTTTTCCTCATCCAAAATGTAAAGTAAATTTCATTTTAAGATTAAAAATACTTTATGCATGAGAACATTTTCAAAATCACATGTGAAATCTTTATAACATCCAGATAGTTGTCAATCATTTATTAAGAAAAAACTTTATATTTATCTGTTATTTTCACTAACGAATATCTGTACAGGTTTGGTTGATTTGACCAATCTCGTAACCACTATAAAAGATTAGGAAATAAATATAAATTATGCTTTTCTTTGTTCTAGAATGACTACAAATTATAACACAAAAACACAAATATTTAGATTAAATGGCTTAAATCTCATAACATTATGAATTTATATATATTTCTTATTTTTATTATATTGACCTTTCAGCTGTACCTGGCTAACAATACAGAAGTTACAATGATGCGGCTCACATGCACTCATGATACCATATCCAATAATATAAAACTGACATTTAGTCTTTACAAAATGATCTGTCTTTGCTGTGTTTTAGTGGACTAGTATTTTGTAAAATTTCAGTCACATTTCAATTATTATACATTATATATATGTATATACATTAACACTATTTACAACTAACTTATTTTTTCTTAAAACATAGAAGAGTAAGTAAAGAAGTAAAGCAAACAATTATTTCTTCTAGTTATGACCTTTGTACTCATTTGCCGCTTGTCGTAGGTTGCTAAGCCTTACGAAATTTCCCAAGTGAAGGATGTGAAAATAAAATTTTTTTAGGTTTTACTTATACATTTTATGTAACCAAAAAAATTATAAATTACTATATTGATGCCATAGAATTCCACTGCAATTTATCAAGCGTAGTAACTAAGCTGTATTTGGTTCTAAAAAAATATAAAATTTTGAGTTCACTAAAAACTTACCTTATCGTTTGAACTCTTTGTGTGAAAAAAACAAAATATTCCCAATAATGCGTCAAAATGACTGAGAAAACCACTAAAGGGACATTTTGAGCTTTTGATTGGTTATTCATGTCATATATAGAAGTAAGTGTATATAAGGGACCATTTCCAAAAAAAGAAAGAGGCAGGCAGTGGGTCACTGTGTTTGATTCAGTACATGAGTGATATCCTTGCAAACAGAAAATATAAGACGTTCTTATTTTATATTCTAGCTTTTAAGTATCAGTAGTTTAAGTTCCTTATTCGTATGAAACTATAGACTTTGTATTTTGACATCACAAACATCTACATTGAACCACTGCTGCATTCAACATACCACATGACACACAAAATCGATACTTAGCTGTGTTTTTTAATATTTACTTATAAATTAAGAAATTAACTAATTTATAACACTAACATTTGAATTATAATTTACAATTTAATACCAAACTTATTGACATAAATTCCTAAAATAGTAATTCAATAAAATTTTGAATGCAAGTCAACAAACATGATGACACGGCTTTTGACACGTGACCCGTTGCAATAGGGTTAAGAAAGAACATTCTGGTAATCCATTTTTTCAGCTTCTAATAAAAAATCTCTCACCATCAAGACAACTATTAATGTCCAAGATTCTTTAATTAAAATTTTCCCTAAGAATTTGCATAAAAAGGAAAGAGATATTCAAAGTAAACTTGTATTTTATTGGGTTTTTTTAAAAAACAGGTTTCATACTACATTATCACTTAAAAGTACATACTTACTTGAGTTATGCATATTACAATTTTCACTTTTGGTACAAGAATTAAAAATATTAAAACAATTGCTACTATACTACTGGCAGAAAAGATAAATAAAACACAAATTATTTTATTAAAAAAAAGGATTAGGAGACAGAGTATCATTGTATTACATTGCTAATAAAAAAGTGTGTATAGTATACATTAAAAGTACAAAAAATCTGTAACTAACCTGTGACAACACTTCAAATGGTATCCCAGCCAGCTGTTTTCGTTTCTGTATTTCTTGATTTGTCTCTTTTCTAAAATGCAGCCTATACCTAAAAAAACAAAAACACTTTTTACTGAACATATCTATTACTATATCTTACATTACTAAGCTAAACATATTAATGTAAGATTAAGTAAATAAAAATGTTTCCTATGTAACTATAATACATTTACTTTAAACTCAAATAAACTCAATAAGAAAATATGAAATTATGAGCTTCATTCAATCAATTAATTTTTTCTTTAAGTTTTTTCGTATAAAGTACTCTGACTATAATTTAGAAAAAAAACAACTACACAATACAGTGTGTAAGAAGTTCTAAAGATGAACATAAAAACAAGAACACCCACTAGTTGACACCACCCAAAAAAAACTTACAATCTTTAAGTTAGAAGATGATCAAAAAATATGGCAACTCCATAATATCAACATAGCAATTAATGTGCTCACAACACCACGTGAAACTTGAGCCTGGGATTTCATTAGGCCATTAACTATTCTACTAATTACAACCAGTGCTAGAAACTCTTGAATCTTCTTATCAACTATGACAAATCATCAGATTAATCAAATGAATACCCTACATTATAAATAATAAATTTAAACAAACAAAAGGATGTAAATCCAGCAAGCTTCCACAGTACAACAATACTTACACAAGTCTAGCATGTTTTCACAGTACAACAATGTTTACATAAGTCTAGCATGTTTTCACAGTACAACAATATTTACACAAGTCTAGCATGTTTTCACAGTACAACAATATTTACATAAGTCTAACATTGATTTAACAATATACTATGCATGTAAGCCTATGTTTCACAAAGTACAAGACAGTGGTAAAAAATTAACATTATCATCAATCACCACTTTACATCAAGTGCTTTATTAATATAAATAATTTTACCATTGTAAATCCTACCTATTTGCTGTGTTTGTACCTTGTCTTGATGGCTGCTGGTTTAACTTTACAACATCTTCCAGAAAGTTTTTTCCCTCATCTGCTATAGATACATTTCCAGATGTCACAATACTGTCTTCTGAAAGTAAACCAAAGATTGATTATCTGAAAAAAGACAACACAAAATGGAGAGGTAAATTAAGTCAAGTATATTTTCAAAGTTTTCAAAATAAAGGATAAAAATGGCTAAAATAAAGGTCGAAATGCATAAAAATACAGGTTATATTTCGTATTATCAACAGTCAGGACATATACCTGTTTGTAGTTTGGTAGATATACATGTTTTAATTTTAATGTCACTTGTACATATAAATTTTGTGGTTACTTATCTATACATGGCAACTTTAAGATAAATCGTTGTAAGCCACCACTGCCTTTTTGAACTGTTCCCTAAAGTTCTTTGTGGTGTATAAATGGGTAAGAGTTCCATATGGCACCCCCACTCAATTTAAAAAAAAATTCATCAAAGTAATATTTAT